GATATACTTGTGGGTCGGCTCGTTGATGAATCCCAACAATTGAATGATGTTGGAGCGAACGTTGTCGTGATGTTGGTCTTCATGCACGGCTACCAAAATGGCCGCCTCCCTGTAGAAGTTGCGATAACATTGGATGTCTCGTCTGCGAACTTCCTTGGCAGCAACGGTGATGTCGCAAGCGTGTGTCTTGAGGTTGGCCTGAATAACTTGACCAAACATCCCCATCCCGACCAGGGGACCAAGTGTGAGGTGCCGCCTGGACTTACCCCATCGGCTGAGCCAGCCCGGCCGGACAGTCTGTGCCAGGTCTGCCTCCACCTGCTCCAGCTCCAGAAAAGCTTCCGTCTCGTCGTCTTGTCCGGCCTGAACGCCGCACATGTGCCTCTTCTTGTACAGTATGGTCCCTACACAAGCAGCCAGAGCGACAACGGAGCCTATTGGGACGAAGATTTCGAGCAGTGGTTCCGGTCGCATTACCTGCTCTTGCTCTACGACTTGCTCACAATTCTTCCCTGTCCATGGTGCCACGCAGGTGCAACTGCCATCCACGTTGTGACAGGTGGCGTTGTTCTTACAGGTGCACACCTGCTGACATCTCAGGCCGTGCCTGTACTGAGGACACGGTACGTCACACTGCAAGCCGTACCAGCCGGCCGCGCAGGTACACTTACCGCCGCTAGGACTGCAGCTCGCACCGTTTCGGCAGCGACACTCCTCTCGGCACCGCTCGCCGTACGTGCCGTTCGGACATTTGGTCTGACACCTGGTTCCTGTCCAGCCCGGAGGACAGACGCAGCCAGATGCCCAGTCACAGGTGGCGCCATGGAGACAGTCACACGTCTTATCACAGAACTCGCCTTTTCTATTAGGTGGACACTTAGCAATGTCAAGTACAACGGTTGCGTTGAAGACCTTTCCATAGGTGTCCCATACCCGACACATGTAGGGACCATTGTCTTTGGGCTGTATGTTTAAAAGAGTTTGGTCTAAACGAGTAGCGTTTTTTCTAACGATCTCAGACCCGTTTGGAAGTCGTAATGATAACGCTGTAGCGTTGACGTGGTGAACTTTACAGTGAACCGTGACGTTAGCGGAAATGTAGATATCAGAAGGGTCGCTTGGTGTCGTCTTGGCGGAAACGCCGGGCTTTGGAATGTCACAAGCGACACCTTGCCAGGCGTCTGTACATTTACAGGCACCGTTGAAGCCATGGCAGCGGGCACCGTTCTTACAGATGCAGTTTTGATTACAAAGAAGGCCGTATCTATCGGGAGGACAGCCGATAGGGCTCAAATCTATAGTAAACGTTTCGACGTGTCGTACATTCATTCCAGTAGCAGAATGATCTTTATCTTTGATACGTTTGAAAAAACTGAGTGGACGATACAGTATCGGAAGTTTGCATCTATAGTGCGTTTTGCTATTTGATGGAACATTAAACGAAATAAAGTAGATGAAACGGGTGTACTGAAGTTTCTCCAGGACATGAGGGATTGGGACCTTTAGCTGTTCTAAGTAAGGCAAGTCGTGTTCGTGTGTATCATATAGAACGATTAACAGCTCTGATTGCATGGCAGTTTCTGCATGACATGGCAACGTAACTGTCCAATCCTCCTCCCTGTAAAACGCCTCCCATATTTCTGCTGCAGCCGAGAGGTCGTTTAAATTATGTATGCCAATAGCAATGCGAATTTCGCAGTTGTCATTTCCTGTGATGATTACCTTAAGATCGTCCATGTCCCATTTCTCAAAAGGCTTACTAATATTTTTCTCAATGAAAAGAACGTCTCCTTCAGTTGTCTCAGCTTCTACACGTGAAGAAATGCTAAACAGGAACTCCCCAGTCTGGTTTCCCCTGGGATTGACCGGTGTTTCACACGTCTCGTTGTACACAGGAGGATAGCCCAAAACGTTTCTCACATTTACTCTGATCCCGACGACATGGTGATCAGGGTCTTCTTGTCCACCAACAAGTAATTTTAAAAGATACTCCGACTGTACAGACCAGTCCAGCGGCCTGGCGACTATAACTGTGCAGTTGTTACTCACATAGAACCGGCCGTAGGGATCCCCCTCCACTATTGCACACGGAAGTTCCGCTTTCTCCGTTCGCGGCAAGCTGACAACGTCTGTCCCAATCCTGGCATCTTCAGCCACAGAAACTGTTAAGTTGGTTCCTTCGATTTCATCGGCCCGACAAAGTAGACAGTAAAGAACTAGTAGGAGCAAAACTGCGTAGTTAACTGACATGGTGTAGCCGCTATTGTAGTCAGCGAATATTCGGAAACACGAAATAGTACTTCTCCATCCTCTGTATACCAAAGAGATAGGGTGTCATGGTGAAATCGGAACTTAACTTGAGAAGCAGGTGTTATGTTTCTTGAGACACATTTTTTCTAAACAAAACTCGCGCACCACACGGTAGTTCCCCACAGCATGTGGAAGGTGTATCCCAGAATTCCCTGTGATGGTTGAGCCCGGTGATACTAGTCTGGCACCCAGGATTGGATGCATGCCCGATACTATAGTCTGGCTCCCAGTGTAGACTGCATGCAATGCCTACACTTTTGTATCATTGTATCTATCTTACTATGGTTGTTTCTACTTCGTTATGCTTTGCACGTCTTCAACGGGGAACTTCAAAGGCACTTGAGGGGTAAGTTATTGTCGTCACTGGAAGTTAGAGAAAAACAAACGTGTCATCGACAATCGACCAACTGTTACCATCGTCAACAAGAACTTGTTATTGATGAGTACCGTTCCATGACGGACGCGGATATTCCAAATTCTGAAAAAGGGGAACTTCCGTGTGCTACAAGGTGTTTGATCCAGTGCAAAATGAGTTGCAAGAAACCTTACACCTGTTTCTGGGGTTAAGTTATGCTTTGATGACTCCCGATGTCATAGGTATACAAAGAAGAATAGAGAAGTGATGTTTTGTGGGAGCACAAGTTTCCTACCATTCAGAATCCATAATAGCGGCTACACCATGACAGTTAACTACGCAGTTTTGCTCCTACTGGTTCTTTACAGTCTACTTTGTCGGGCCGATGAAATCGAAGGTACCAACTTCACAGTTTCTGTGGCTGAAGATGCCAAGATTGGGACCGACGTTCTCAGCTTGCCGCGAACGGAGAAAGCGGAACTTCCGTGTGTAATGGTGGAGGGGGATCCCTACGGCCGGTTCTATGTGAGTAACAACTGTACAGTTATAGTCGCCAGACCGCTGGACTGGTCTGTTCAGTCGGAGTATTTTTTAAAGGTACGTGTTGGTGGGAATAAAGACTCTGATCACCATGTCGCCAGGATCAGAGTAAATGTGAGAAACGTTTTGGGCTATCCTCCTGTATACAACGACACGTGTGAAACACCAGTCAATCCCAGGGGAAACCAGACTGGAGAGTTCCTGTTTAGCCTTTCTCCAAGTGTAGAGGTTGAGACAACTGCCGGAGATGTCCTTTTCTTTCAGAAAAGTCTTAGTAAGCCATTTGAGAAATGGGACATGGACAATCTTAAGGTAATCACCACAGGAACTGACAACTGCGAAGTTCGCTTTGCTTTTGGCATACGTAATTTGAACGACCTCTGGGTTGCGGCAGAAATATGGCGGGCGTTTTACAAGGAGGAGGATTGGACAGTTACGTCGCCATGTCATGCGGAGACTGCCATGCAATCAGAGCTGATAATCATTCTTTATGATACGCACGAACACGACGTCAACAAAGGCTTGCCTTACTTGGAACAGCTACAGGTCCCGATCCCTCAAGTCCTGGAGAAACTTCAGCACTCCCGTTTCATTTACTTTATTTCGTTTAATGTTCCGATAAATAGCAGAATGCACTATAGATGCAAACTTCCGATACTGCATCGTCCACTCAGTTTTTTCAAAAGTAAAGATCATTCTGTTACTCGACTAAATGTACGACACGTTGAAACGTTCACTATAGATTTGACCCCGATCGGCTGTGCTCCAGATAGATACGGCTTTCTTTGTGATCAAAACTGCATCTGTAAGAACGGTGCCCGCTGCCATGGCTTCAACGGTGCCTGTAAATGTACAGACGCCTGGCAAGGTGTCGCTTGTGACATTCCAAAGCCAGGCGTTTCCGCCACGACGACACCTAGCGACCCTTCTGATGTCTACATTTCCGCTAACGTCACGGTTCACTGTAAAGTTCACCACGTCAACGCCGCAGCGTTATCATTACGACTTCCAAACGGAACTAAGATCTTTAGGAAGAACGCTACTCGTTTAGACCAAACTCTTTTAAACATACAGCTTAAAGACAATGGTCCCTACAAGTGTCGGGTATGGGACACCTATGGAAAGGTCTTCAACGCAACCGTTGTACTTGACATTGCTAAGTGTCCACCTAATCGAAAAGGCGAGTTCTGTGATGAGACGTGTGACTGTCTCCATGGCGCCACCTGTGACTGGACATCTGGCTGCGTCTGTCCCGCGGGCTGGACAGGAACCAGGTGTCAGACCACATGTCCGAACGGCACGTACGGCGAGCGGCGCCGAGAGAAATGTCGCTGCCGAAACGGTGCGAGCTGTAGCCATAGCGACGGTAAGTGTAACTGCGCGGCCGGTTGGTACGGTTGGCAGTGTGACGAACCTTGTCCTACGTCCAGGCACGGCCTAAGGTGTCAGCAGGTGTGCACCTGTAAGAACAACGCCACCTGTCACAACGTGGACGGCACCTGCACGTGCGTAGCGCCGTGGACAGGGAAGAACTGTGACCAAGTCGAACAGCAGGCAATGCGACCGGAACAACTGCTCGAAATCTTCGTCTAAATAGGCTCAGTTATCGTTCTGGCTGCTTGTGTAGGGACCATACTGTACAAGAAGAGGCACCTGTGCGGCGTTCAGGCCGGCCAAGACGACGAGACCGAAGCTTTTCTGGAGCTGGAGCAGGTGGAGGCAGACCTGGCACAGACCGTCCGGCCGGGCTGGCTCAGCCGATGGAGGAAGACCAAGAAGAACCTGATACTTGGTGACTTGAAAGATATGGGGATGTTTGGTCAAGTCACTGAGGCGAAGCTCAAGACACCTGCCGGGAACATCACCGTTGCTGCCAAGGAAGTTCGCAGACGAGACATTCAATGTTATCGCAACTTCTACAGGGAGGCGGCCATTTTGGTCACCGTGCATGAAGACCAACATCACGACAACCTCCGCTCCAACATCATTCAATTGTTGGGATTCATCAACGAGCCGACCGACAAGTATATTCTCATGGAATACGCCTCCAACGGCAACCTGTTACGTTTGCTGCGACAGGCACGAAAGCAAGTCGGGCCGCAGTCTCTCCCACGTCATCTCCGCTATGCCGTGCACATTGCCCGCGCTCTTCAGGAGCTCCAACGCCTGGCGCTCACACACCGGGACGTGGCCGCTCGGAACGTCCTCATCACTGCTGACCACGTGGCCAAGTTGGCCGACTTTGGACAGGCCCGTGACGTCTACACCG